AAAAGCAGGACACAAAAACTACACAAACACAGTGAACAAACTTATGGATACCAATGGGGGAAGGAGGGGGTGGGATGAATTGGGAGACTGGGATTGACATATATACACTACTATGTATAAAAAAGACAACTAATGAGAACCTACTGTACAGCACAGGGAACTCTACTCAATGCTCTGTGATGACCTAAATAGGAAGGCAATCTAAAAGAGGGGATATATGTATACATATAACTGATTCACTTTGCTGTACAGCAGAAACTAACACAACACTGTAAAGCAACTATACTCCAATAAAAATTAATTAAAAAAAACACTACACAAACACTATGGCCACAACTATATAAATTTAGTTGATGAAATACAACAAAAATTTAACAGTGATCTGTGTCATATATTTCCTTTTTCCACCTAAATTTTCTATAATTTTTTCACACTTAAAATATTTTAAAATTGACCACTGAAGAAAAAAATTGAGCAAACCTCACTCTAATTTGCAGGATTCCTTTCTAACCCGGCACTTACTTAAAATAACTGATCGTCCTCATTGCTTTTTTGTTTATGTCTAGAAGTTTTTTCCACGTCAGAATTAAAAATATTTTTCGCTACCAATATTATAAGTCTGTTTCTAAATAACTTGGGTAAAGAATTCAGAAATCAAGCTGGCAGAAATTGGGTCATTTTGTAAGATATGTATTTCTCAAACCAAAAGAGGACTTTGGAGTGGCTTTAGCAAGTTCCCAAACTTTTCCTGGGAAGGAGCCTACAGGCAACACTTACTGCCAAGTTCCCCACCTCCCCCCACCTTAGTGGATCTATCAGCATACTTTTTTTTTTTAAACATCTTTATTGGAGTATAATTGTTTTACAATGGTGTGTTAGTTTCTGCTTTATAACAAAGTGAATCAGTTATACATATACATATGTTCCCATATCTCTTCCCTCTTGCGTCTCCCTCCTTCCCACCCTCCCTATCCCACCCCTCCAGGTGGTCACAAAGCACCGAGCTGATCTCCCTGTGCTATGTGGCTGCTTCCCACTAGCTATCTATTTTACGTTTGGTAGTGTATATATGTCCACGCCACTCTCTCACTTTGTCACAGCTTACCCTTCCCCCTCCCCATATCTTCAAGTCCATTCTCTAGTAGGTCTATGTCTTTATTCCCGTCTTACCCCTAGGTTCTTCATGACCTTTTTTTTTTCTTCTTAGATTCCATATATATGTGTTAGCGTATGGTATTTGTTTTTCTCTTTCTGACTTACTTCACTCTGTATGACAGACTCTAGGTCCATCCACCTCACTACAAATAACTCAATTTCGTTTCCTTTTATGGCTGAGTAATATTCCAAAACTACAAATAGAACTACCACACGACCCAGCAATCCCACTACTGGGCATATACCCTGAGAAAACCATAATTCAAAAAGAGTCATGTACCAAAATGTTCACTGCAGCTCTATTTACAATAGCCAGGAGATGGAAGCAATCTAAGTGTCCATCAACAGATGAATGGATAAAGAAGATGTGGCACATATATCAGCATACTTTTTCTGTTACAGGCTAGGAGTAAACATCTTTGGCTTTGTAGGCCATAGAGTCTCTGTCGCAGTTACTCAACTCTGCCACAATAAAGCAGCCATAGACACTATGTAAATGAATGAGCGTGGCTATGTTCCAATAAAACTTTTTTTTTACAAAAACAGGCAGTGGGCCAAGTTTGGCCTGTGTGCAGTGGTCTGCCAGCCTGTGGTGTACAGCACACTAGAGAACATCCTTGGAGCTTGGAGACGGTGAAAAGACCTGAAGGACTGCTTGCACCTTCACAGGGAACGACCGTCGAACCTTATTTTGACAGCCACACCGATCTCCAAGAATTCTTCGAAGGTGGTGTACTAATGAATATTCCCCCCAAAATCAATGAATTGGTTCCTCAAATACAGTAGTTTTCAACCATGATACTGAGACAGACATAGCTACGTAGAATGTGCTGCAATTAATTTACTATTAATAATACAGTACTGGTTTTCAAACGAGTTTTAGAAAAAGCTTTATAAAAGGGATGATCAGTCTTATCCTTATAGCCAGCCTGGACCTATACACAGCCTTGGGTGTACCTGCAGGAGCAAAGGACTCATGTACATACTGTCAGCCCATGTACGTTTGCATCAGAAGCAGCCTTAGAGACCACTGAGCCCAGCCCTTTCCATCTAAAGATAACAAATCCACTCTGTGACTAACAGCTCAAACATGTCAGGTTTGGATCCGTTACAGTCTTATTAATATTCATCAAAACATACATGAAGCCAAGGAAGAAGAAACAGGAGATAGCCAAGAAGGGCGAGGGACAGTGTGATAATTCGCTAGGATAGATATCCTTTTCCTTTTATAAACTTTCATTGTTGTTCATCATAGAAAAACTTGAAAATGCATGAAAGACAGAAGAAAAATTAAAAGCCCCATACTATCATGGAGCAATTAACTATGGTTATCATTTTGGTTCCTTTCCCTTCAAATCCTCTCTCTGTGTATATTAGAAAAACAAAATGTTTTTAATAAGATTGCTTTCTACTTTCTTCATAAAATATTATGTCATAAGTACTTCCATATATTATTTATATGGCTCAAAAATATGATTTTGTAATTTCTGTATTAAAAATCTATGGAATAGATGGACCATAATTATTTAAATTTCTCCCCTATTGTTGGATATTTATATCATCTCTTTATTTTTTATATATTATATTAAAAGTTGAAAATAATCCTATGGAAGCTTATAAAACTATTTAAATATAACATTTTATATTTAGGTATTTGACAGCAGGTATTGCCTAAAGCAGAGTAATATTCTGGGGCCCTTCAGATCAAGGCACATCAGAGGACACATTAGTGACCACAGGAAGAGGTATATACCCCAGGAGCAGGCACAGGAGCACTGGACCCACGACTGGAAAATGGGCCATCTGAGACCTTGAAATTCTTTACTAAAGGCAGATCAGGTAGTAGAGTCAACCAACGTGACAAGTGGGGCCCAAGTGAGGTGGTATCACAAGACTGAGCCTTGACTGCTCTCTCTCTGCAACACCCTACAGAGGAAAACTGTTTTGACTTGACTGCTATTATTAAAATTGTGTAGGAGAAAGGATGTTAAAAAGATGGTGGCAGATGTTTCATTTATAGCATATAGTAAATTTGTGGGATATTCCCTTTGACATAGAAGGTCAACTAATTGGTCTTTCTCCCATGGGCAAATGGAAGAGAGTTCTCTGCTGAGTGTCTTCTCTGCCGGGTATGATGGGGCAGAATGTCAAAACAAACAGATGTGGATGCCAGCCTGGCATCAGCAACAGCATGTATGCTTCCAGAAGTGGCAGAGGGCTCTGAAACCTCTAGCGACTTCAGCAGTAGAACCCACATATATTTCCCTTTATCTAGCTGCCAATAAGAAAACTAAAACAAATTAATAATCTAATTCATATAATTCATAACACTAGAAAAACCTTCCCTCATAAACTGTCTGTTCTGAAGCAAGCCAAAGGAAGAGGAATAGAGATAACTTAGTGGAGGGAAGGAGTTACAAGTGCCCTCTTGAGTTATGTATTTTTAAAAAGCTCCTTGAAATAATGACATTTACAGCAACATGGATGGACCTAGAGATTATTATACTAAGTGAAGTAAGCCAGAGAAAGACAAATACCATATGGTATCACTTATATGTGGGATCGAAAATATGATACAAATGAACTTATTTACAAAACAGAAAGAGACACACAGACATAGAAAACAAACTTATGGTTACCAAAAGGGAAAGGGGGTGGGGAGGGATAAATTAGGAGTTTAGGATTAGTAGATACAAACTACTATATATAAAATAAACAACAAGGTCCTACTGTATAGCACAGGGGACTATATTCAATATCCTGTAATAAACCATAATGGATAAGAATACGAAAAAGAATATAGATATATATGTATAACTGAATCACTTTGCTGTACACCAAAAAGTAACACAACACTGTAAATCAACTATACTTCCATTTTAAAAAATAAAAAATAAGGAGAAAAAAATAAAAAAGCTCCAATTCAGATCTCAGTTTCCAAATGGAAAGATATGAAGTAAAATGAACATATGTGTATTTTATAAAATACATAAAATACAGCAAAATTAAGTCTGAGCCAGTCAAGGTAATACAACGTTACTTTTTAACTTAAAGATGGGAAAAGGAACATTTCTGATTAAAATCCATGTCTAACACTGTGCAGTCGATCCTTGAACAACGTGGGGGTCAATCCCAGTGTAATTTACAGTTGGCCCTCCATATCCACGGTTCTTCCACATCCGCAAATTCAACCAACCAAGGACTATGCAGTGCTGTAGTATTTACTATTGAAAAATAAACACATATAAGTGGTCCCATGCAGTTCAAACCCGCGTTGTTCAAGGATCAACTGTATTTACCTATGGAATTTTTAGAAAGAGATTATTTTTCAAACCTAACTTTCCCAGAATTATTTGGGGGATAATTCATATTTTAAGTGGACAATCAAGAACAAGTCCAAAGTGGTAAAGGACAACTTTCTCCACCCCCACCCTCATTTTTCTATCTATCTGACAAAGATTTGCATGAACAGGACACACGCTCTTCTTTTTGTGTCTATGCCACAAGAACTTTGGATACGCAAACAGAAAAGGTCAAGAACTAAAGATATGCCTCTCAAAACCATGAGAAGAATCAAGTTACATGTAAATTTGTCAAATGTGGCAAGTAATCACTGTCACCACTCACTCAGAACACTGGAAAGAGCTGGAGTCAATGCTTCTGGACAACGGCACAGGTGACCAACAAACCCATGTGAAATAAACACTGAATGTCAAACACCACAAAGTTAATTGTCACAGTATCTGATCACAAACAATTCCTACAGGCATACTTGGAAGTGTGTTTTTCAAGACCTAAGTCAAGTTTATGGAAAGCGTTGGTAAGGTCACAGCACATACACTTACCTTACCAGTGCATCTGGTTTGCTTAGCTGGTTATTAGGAATACAGTTTTCCATTAAGTCCTTGTGTGCACTTGGGCTCTTACTAGGGCATTTCTGCTTCTTCTCATTTTTACTAGATGAGGAAGGAATGCTCCCATTTGTGGCGCTGTGACTTCGAGGTGAGGAGTTCACAACTCCACTGGCATTTTTGTAGTTTTTTGAGGAAGCACTGCATGAGTCCTCTTTCAAGAGATTTTCTGTACTTCCCACGAGATCATTATTTAATCTTTTACTATTGATATGGTTTTCCATATACTCAATTTCTTGTATTTTAGAGTCTACAGGTTGTAGAATATTGTTGTTATTTATTCCAAGGTTGTGTTTTTTGGCATCTTTGTCTTTTTCTTTCCCTTTTTCTCGGTATTCTATCTCTGGCAAAGTTGTGGAGAGTTTTTTATTGGCTGGGATACCTCCGTTGTGGTGTATGAGGATTGAGGAATCCATATCAGGTAATCCTTTGGCTGCTACAATACCAAAAACAAACCAACAAGCAAAAAAAACCCACACTGGAATATTTAGTTGTAAAAAAACACAATGGATTGATTCAATAAACTGCATCATCTACACTTAGAAACTCACTATATTAAGTTGCAAACTCATTCAGAAGCAATAACCACACCACATTATGGTAACTTCAAGAAGCAAATCCAAATAAATTTGAGAAGCCGCACATTTAGAAAATCGCCATCATTTATAAACACCAAGCCATTAAAGTTTTGGCCTTGAAAATAATATGAGGATTTTATAATAAAGTCACACTTCACTTATCAGTCAAATCAAACTTGTCTATCACGGGGGTGATAGGACACAGGCACATCATACTCTTAAAAGGTCACATTTTAAAAGATGCTTAGATTAAACAAACTTAATAATTTTACTGCAAAGAAAGAGATTAAATGAAACAAAAAGGTGTGATGTTAGGATACAGGGCATCTATCCTTCGTCTGGACTTTATCATTAAAGTAATAAGAAGTCTATTATCATTTACTAGGCCACTTACGAAGAATTTTCTGTATCAGGTCTACATATTCCAACTTGTCAAAGTCTACTTGAAGAGATAATTTTGGACCACACCAGATAATAAGATTTTGTCATGTATCAACTAAAAACATGACCCTCTCAAAGCAAAGAAAACTGGTATTGCTATCAATTCATCTGTTGAATTGGTTATATATTCATGAGAGAGGTTGTATTAGAAAAAGGTCAATCTGAGATCCATGTTGCATTATACAAACCATTTAAAGTGAGACCTAGCCATCTCTGCTCTATTCAGAAGAATTTTGACTTATAAAACAATTCTATATGTTTACATCTCTGTCTTGCTTATACTGTGGTTCTTGGTTTGCTTCAATTACAAATGCACATAATTATATACACTATTTTGTTACTGAGAATAAATATTTTAAAATATTTATAACAAATAAAATATTAAAATAGAAAATAAGCTACAAAAATGAAATATATAAAAATAATAAAATAAACGTATTTAAAAGCACATGGCCTTCAGACACTAGGTAGAAAACATCACGCACATTCTGTATTCCATGACCAAACAAAGCAACAGCCCTGAAGAGGCACACCAGAAAACAGGAAAAGCCTTGGTAATTTTCCAGAGCCCTAGCAACTTTTCTGAAAAAAAAAAAAAAAAATACTGACAGACAAAATAATGACTAACCTATTGAGTCAATAGCTTTAGAGTAAAGACCTACCTTCCTCAGCCTCTTTTTCTTGCTTTTGTAGCATTTGTTGCTCTGCGGGGAGGGCTTGTTGAAGAAGCTGCATGTAAAATTCGTTCTCTTTTTGCACTTCCTTCTGCTTCCTCAACCGCATTTTGTAGCTTACATAACTTTTGAAGCCAAAGCCCAAAGTCACCACAGGGTACCCAATACTAGAAAGAAGACAATCCCGCCAGTAATTGTAAGTTAAAAACAAACAACACGTGCATCAAGTACATGAGGACACCTATGACTGAAATTAAGAAATAAATGCTAGATGATGATGATAGTTGAGCATTCAGTAAACACACACGTAGTGTGTAATGCATGCCGTGGAAATCAGAGGCAGCTGGCACGTAGAACAAACCCCCAGGGAACAGCAGGACTGCTGGACCATAAGAGGCTGCCCATCAGACTTTGGCATTCTTCAATGAACTCAAGGAGTTACCGTAGGGACTGTTGGATACAGTGGCTAATGTCTTTGATTAACATTGAACTGCCTTATGCATATTAGAACTTAGGCATCTGTATGCTTTTAAGAACTAACAGGGTAGAGATTTTATGAGTGGTCATAAGTAAACATTACAAGTGTTAAAAAAAATCAAAAGGACATCATTTGGTTTTTAATACTAGAAGGCAGGGTCAAATTCAGGTGACTAATCTTCTTGCTGCCTCAGGGGTACTGTCACCAGCTATTCCTGGAAAATCAGTTCATACATAAACACTCTACCAAACATAAATTCAAGAATCATTTAACTAAGTATCTGATGTTATCAGTGCCAACAACTGGTGTGCACAAACGAATTAAACCACCTGTACTTACAACTCTAATCTCTGGGATAAAAAGTTGAAATATTTTCATTCAACTCACCAGTCTGTCTAATATCATTTCAAAGTCTCTGAAAACACTGTTGAAACTCATATTAAGTTTCATTAACATGAAAACAACAATTATAATTAGTCTAAACGTGATCATACCACAAATTTAAAGTGACAAGTTTTACTGACCAGGTTTATTTAATTCACTTGTTTGTGAAAAGACTTTAAACATATTGGAAACTACTTTTTTGTTGTTGATTCCTATTTGTTTTGGTTTCTGCCATAAATATTAGCAAAAATTGGTGTATTTAAAAGAAATATACATTACGTGGTTATTTCCATAATAGATATAAACAAGAATCAAACTCATTTTCAAACATGTTTCATGGTTTAAGGTTAAAAATAATATTCCTTAAAAAATTATTAATAATATTCTCTTACTTTTGTAAATAGGCAAAGGAAATCGTAAGTTCATTTAAGCTCCATGAAATAGCCATATATTTCACTAAGACTTTTTGGAATCATTATCTGATTACAATAAAAATAGATAACATGTATCAGACACCTATGTGCTTGGCATTAAGTTAAACACTTTACATATATCACCTTATTTCATCTTTCCCATGACACCCCATGAGACAGGTTCCCAACATATAGGTAAGAGAACTCAGGCTTAGAGAGGGTGACGTGTCCAAGGCAACAAAGCTGTTAGGGGGCAGAGCTGGGATTTAAACACCTATCTGCCTGACTAGAGGGCTCATGTTCTTTACCACACCATGCTATGTTATCTTCTGGATTCATGTAATATCTCTGAGAAAAAATTTACAATTGAAATTACCATTCTACATTGAAAACACTGAATTAGATTACAGATTAAGAAGACACATAATACTCACCAGTGAGCAGCAAATGGACGACAAAGGTCTACATGAAAATTTTTGAGATCTTTAAATCTAATTGCTGCTTCAATATAAACAAAGAGTATCCAGAGGGATACTGTGGGCAAACACACTCCCCTTTCTGTGGGAAAGCAGCAGAGAGACAAGCATCAGTGAAACATTAACTAATATAACAGATGGGTTGTTTGGGAGACTGGTTCAACTACAGTAACTTTAAGACTTTCAAACTCGGGACTTCCCTGGTGGCACAGTGATTAAGACTCTGCGCTCCCAATGCAGGGGGCCTGCGTTTGATCCCTGGTCAGGGAACTAGATCCTACATGCATGCTGCAACTAAGAGTTCGCATGCCACAACTAAGGAGCCCGTGAGCCACAACTAAAGAGCCCACCTGCTGCAACTAAGACCCAGCACAACCAAATAAATAAATTAAAAAAAAAAAAAGACTTCCAAACTAATTAAAAAGCAATATGATCCAAACTGAAAGCTTTTATATGACAAAAGATGCCTGGAATCATAGACAAAAATAAAAACAAGCATTCTGGCAGAAAATATTTACAATATATGTAAAACAAAGAAGTCATAGCCCTAGCATACAAAGAGCTCCTACAAATCAATAGAAAGTCAACTGAAGAAAAAAATTTGAAAGTCATAAAAGAAAAAATATAGATGGCTAAAAAACATGTGAAAAGATGCCAACTTCATTACTGATTAGGGAGATAAAATTTTTTTAAATGAGATTCTATTATTTTAGCCTATCAGATAAAGCAAAAATTTTAAAGATGGGTAATAGTATAGGGAAGGTATGTGAAAGGCTTCCTTCTCATACTCAGCAATAATATAAATTGGGGCAACTTTCTTAGAAAGCAATTTGGCAGTATAGTTAAAAATACTTATACCTTTGACCCAGAAATTCCAATTCCAGGAATTTACCCTACAGAAATACAACAGAGCCCTCGGAAAAATGTATAAGAATATTCAACGTATTATTTGCAATAGCAAAAATTAGGACTTAGAATTAACTTAAATGCCTATCAACAGGAAATGTTTAATTATGATAAATCTATATAATGAAATATGATACAGCTTTTCAAAAGGATGAAGATCTGTACTACCACAAATATGTAAAAAACAAAAATTCTTAAGTAAAAATGAGTTACAGCACTAAGAAATGTTTCTGACATTTAAGTATTACTCAAAAAATTTTTTTTCTTAACTACAAGCTCATATTCCTTTTGTAATTAAAAACAATTTTCAATGTAGGAAAAAGCAACTTGCAACAGAATAAATAAAACTCAAATAATGAGATCATTTTCACTGGGCTTTACAATCGAAGTCTATAGGCTATGTCCATCTATGTCAGGACATGACTAATAATGGGCTATTTCATGAAGATAGACCACAAAGGCATGAGATCCACTAACTCTGGAAAGATCTCCTTTGAGACCATATAAAGCTAGCAAGTTCCAGAAGACAGAACTGGAGGGAACACTCAGTGACCTGAAGAACTAAATAGATTTTTTCTAAGACTCTTTAGGATGAAACACAAGAAAAATTATAGCATCTTGGTACTAGAAAGATGATCACTTAGTCCAACTTTCATTTTATGGAAGAGTAAAGTGAGGCCCAGAGTTTATACAAATTGGGTCCAAATCACAGATATAATAATGAATCTGCTTCTAAGGAGAACCTAAATCCCCATAGACCTAGTCCATAAGGTAAGAAGACACTCGAAGCTCTGTGAAGACAGCTAATGGTCTCAACCATTCTTACAGATTTAATGTACTGGAAAAAGGGTATTTTCACAATGCAGGAAGACGAACAGCAACCCTTAGGATAATGCATTTTCAATTTCATTTCAAAATGCATTTTAAAAAATTTATATTCTGTACTCCCTATATTAATTCTAAAGTTATCATAAACAAAATAAGCACATTACAGAAAAAATAGAAAAATTTGGATAAACTACCCATATTTCTACACCTATAAAATAAATAAAATCAAACCACGTTGGAAATATTTTTGAGCTAGTATAATAGTCATGTTGTACATACAGGGTTTTTTTAGGTATTCTTTTGGCTTCTTTTATGTATGTATGTATGTATGTATGTATGTATTTATGCCATGCTGTGCGGCACGTGGGCTCTTAGTTCCCCAACCAGGGATCGAACGCGTGTCCTCTGCAGTGGAAGCGTACAGTCTTAACCACTGGACCTCCAGGGTAGTCCCGTACATACAGTTTTATATCCTGTTTTCTCCCTCTTAATAGCAAGGAAAAAAAATTAATGATATAATATTTTCATTCTTTTGTGGCAATATATAATTTCATCAACCATTCCTAACATTCTTAAGAAAAATTTAAAATTTTAACAACTGAAAGAGAAATTAATCCCAAGCTATAAAAATTGCACTCATATTTACTGGGCTTAATAAGAACACAAACTTAGTTTTGTTTGTTCACTAATCATTCCAAATTAAAACATACTTCATAACGTAGGTATTCCAACATGCATTTCTGAACCTAGAGCTAAAGAGAGGCCAATATCACTTATAACATTAGCTTCATTGCTGCCCTGTGGGTCACCCACTGAACTCCAGTAGGTTCTATTAACAGTTATATGAGTAGGTTTTTCTCAACTATTAAGACATTATTAAAGTAATTTAGGGAATCATTATAGTTCATCAGAGTCAGAGATTATCTGAGCTCGAAGGCTCCCTTAAACACTGTCTAGATTACTCTACCCTCACATGACAGAGAAGAAGCTGAGACCTAGAGAGAATGACAAGTATAAATGGCAACTCACTTGAAACTGAGGGCCAGGACAAGGAAATAGAAGTAAAAACTGGTATATAGGAAAATCACTTTAACTAGAGAAAAGCAGACTAAGGAACCAGCATGCTAGCTTATAAATTCAGTCACATATGACAGAGTGCTAAAGATGGAGAAAACAATGCTCAAAGTGGATACTTTAAATAAGAGCTGAACTGTGTCTTCTCCAATGGGACAACATCATCCTCATAGCATTTAGAGAAGAGAATGAATGTTGCTCCAGAGAGCTTTTATTAGTTGGTGCTCCAACAGCGGTCAAAATTCTACAGGTTGCAGCTGGGCCTAGGAATCAAGTTTCATGCAGCTTTGCAGAGAAATGTGAGGATCTGAGAGCCAATCATCATATCCCCACGTGTCCCATGTGCAGGCTTCATAGTAGACTGGAGCTACCAAAACATCTCAGGTCATCTTAGTTTGTAATAGCAAAAGAATAGCTCTAAGAAGAAGGGAGGTGGCTACATAGCTCCACTCAAGTCAGAACATACCTGAAATAGTACATTTTGGTTTAGAGAGCCACTAAGAACTAGGGAGATCAGAAAGGTGCAAGCGCTTAAAGTAACATACAAGGAAAAGCTGATGAAATTGGAGATGCTTGGTCTACAGAAAAGAAGATGAGAGGATATGACAGTGTCTTTAAGGCTCTAAAGAAATGTTAACATGGATGGAAGATTACGCTCATTCAGTGTGGCTCTAATGCAGGGGTCCCATGTTTGGACTAGAGGGATGGTCTATAAGCCCTTTAAAATTAAAAAAAAATTTTTTCTGTATATTCCCATGTGTTTTTCTGGGGAAAGCCCTTTATATCCTCTAAGTGATCAGTGAGTCCCAAGACAGTCAAGACATGCTGGGCCAAAAGCGTTAAGGGGGAAAATTCTGGCTCAGTAGGAGGAAGAATTTTCTATTCCAGTTGCCCCAAAACAACAGTAGTAAGTTCCTTGTCACTAGATTTTCAATCAGAGATTAAACCACCATGTACCAGGGATGCTGTGGGGACTCTTATGCCAAATAAGGGTTCAACTAAATGACTTCCGACATTCCTTTCAATACTGAAGCTGAAGGAACATTTTTCCTATTTGGCACATGGCTGTCTTCAAGGCCACCTCAATAAAAACTGCTTCACCTTTTTTTAAAAAATGGCTATCTTCATAGTGAGAGTTGGTAACTGAAATGCCTATGATCAAAATATCAAGTTTTGATTCAATAACAAAAAAATACATTTTAAAGGTGTATTATAATCTATTATGAAAAGGGATATTTAAAATGTCCACATTTATACACTACCAAATGTAAAATAGATAGCAAGTGGGAAGCAGCAGCACAGCACAGGGAGATCACCTCGGTGCTTTGTGACCACCTAGAGGGGTGGGATAGGGAGGGGGGGAGGGAGATGCAAGAGGGAGGGGATATGGGGATATACGTATACATACAGCTGATTCACTTTGTTATACAGCAGAAACTAACACAACATTGTAAAGCAATCATACTCCAATAAAGATGTTAAAAAAAACTGAAGGATTAAAAAAAATGTTCACATTAAACTCAACTCTAAATAATTTACTCAAGGAAATCACATTAAAAAAGTTTGAATCTAAGATTTCTATCTATCTAAGAAACCATTAAAACTTACCTGTGTGCCATACGTACTGAACCCACACATATGTACTAGCAGCAAAAAAAAGCCATTGTATGGGGATGAACAGCAGACATATTATATTTGACGTGAATGCTACACAAACAAAAAATACTGAAAAGGCCTAAAGCGAAAAACAAAATAAAAAACATATCTTAGAACATGTTAATTTCAAACAGAGATTATTAAAAGCACGTTGGACAAAATCTCTGAAACTGCTATGCAATAACTACAGAACAAGTTACAATAGGAAATTTTAAATATTTAAAATCACCCATATAAAAAGTAGTCGTTAATTTAGCATTAAAGAGTAATCCTATTTATGGCCTCAAATCATGAAGAACTGGACCAGAACAAACAGGTTGATTCATAGTGAGTTTACTTGGACTCCACAGGTGGGTTACCTAAAAGAAACAGAATTTTAACACAGAAAAGGATCCTCTCTCCTCACAAAATATTACTAAAGAGACTCATTCTTAAAGGATAGGCTATTGGAGCACAGATAAAACACAACTGTGGCAAGGATTACACTGACGTTCATAATTTTAACAATGCAGCTTCCTCTGGACACATCATTATCTATTACTAACAGGACATGGGCTCGAAACCATCTTTTCAAGGCATGGATTTGCTCTGACCAAAGCACCAGGCCTGGGTAGAATACGTACAGGTTTAAGATGTGGCTCTGGAACACAAAAGAACTACAGGTCAACCAAGGGAGCAAGCCCAGGCCTATGCCCTTGCTCTAATCCAGTAGTTCTCAAAACATGATCTGGGGATCCCTGGGGATCTCTGAGATCCTTCCAGGGAGTCTTCCAGGTAAAATAATTTCATAATAATACTAAGGCATTATCTGCCTCTTTCATGCTCATTTACTCAGGAGTATGGTGGTGTCTTCTAGAAGTTACACGATAAGTGATATTGTAATCACCTGAGTTCACAAGCAGCTATGAAAATCCAGCTGTCTTCTATTAAGCCAGACATTAGAGAGATTTTCAAAAATGTAGTCAATCTTCTAATTATTTTGTTTTGGAAAATACAGTTATTTTTCATTTTAAAATGTAATGTGTATTAACATGTGATGGGTTTATTATTGCTTTTTTTAAGTGAATTAAGTATTCAATTTTTATTTTAAATTTTATTTTATTTTAAATAAAAATTTTAATTTTTAATTTTTATTTAAATTAAATAAGTATTAAAATGTTTTCCAGTTTTAATTTCTAATATAGTAAAAATAAATAGATGTAACCTACATAAATAAAAGCTTTTTGGAGTCCTCAATAGTTGTTAAGAGTGTAAAGGATCTGGAGACCAAAAAGTCTGAGAACCACTGCTCTAACTCGAACCCAGTCACAAAGCCAGTGATAGAGGCTCCAGAGGTACTTCAGAGTAGAACTGGGCAATTACTGCTTTATCCACTACTCTGTCTTCCTCCTGAAATCCTCCCTCCCTCCCCTTCTTTTCACTGGAATGGTAGAGGAGGGAGTAAAATGATTTATCAGTGGGTTTAGAAAAAATAGCCTTAAAGGCCAGTTTCAGTTCATAGACCCTGTTACTCAATACAGTCACCTAAGTATTGCTAATAAAATCTACTTTAAACAGTTTCACTATCAGTTATTGAAGACTTTCTTAGAAGGGTAAATAAATCTTTTACACTTGAAAAATATATATATTAATAAACTTACCAGTCCCTGGTATCTGAAGGAATCATAGACGCTTCTGATGAAAAGCCAAAATGGCCACAGGTATTCAAATCTGAACTCCAGGACAAAATCTGCCAGGAGGACAAGTGCCCACACTACCAGGAATTTCAGGTATAAAAACGTACTGCAAAATATAAAAGAATTCAAGGTCATTTGTGAAGAGCTAGAAAAAGAAAGTTCACTGCTTTATTTAAAGAGACAAAAAATATCTTCCTATACTGTGAAAACAATGGAGATAAAGGACAAAAAGAGATGCTGCCACGGCCCACCTAAATTTTAAAAGCTCTGGTGTTCATTCTGAGACCCACAACTATCAAAATAAGATGATGACCCAAAATGCTTAATTCCATCTAAGATGGAAAAGGCCCATTTAAATCTCACCACTATTTTAAAATGTGCTAAGTATCTGACTTCACAATACTGCAACACTCTCAAAATTATAGCTTTCAAGCTGTTCTTCATTAGAAGAAATGTCATGGTTGAGTGGCTTGAAATTTGCTGTTTCCCCACCCCTCAACATCTGTTTGAAGAGTCTTTGAAATTCTTGATGCACATCCCTATACGCTTGAAGAATTCTGCCTTTTCCCCCCCGTTTCTCCTCTTGCCTCTCTCTATAGTATTCATGTGAATTAACCAAACAACAACCAAATGACTTCCCAAAACAGACAGAAATTAACTTAGGGAGCAGATGCCAATCACTTCTAAGGGCTGTGAGGGTACCAAAATGTACATTAAAGAAAAAAACCCTGAAAGATCCCAGCCTTGCTCTAGCTGAGATGTTAATGTGTGCTCCCACTTCCCTCTGGACTTCTGTTAAATAGAAACACACCTTGATAAGCCAGTCAGAACACATATCTAACCACTGTGATATCTCAAAGCAAGGTAAGGACCTGGATTAAAAAATATATGTTTCATATAATCTAAAAGCCCATTCTTCCAATTCATTAGTTGTATCATAGATAATAGAAGCTTTCAGACTCTACCTATTAACAAGCCCCTAATTCTAGGTCTTTAATCTGGTCACTTCTGGAGCAGGTTAAATTTAGGTATTTTTTTAAAAAGGTTTTCTAAGATATACGGATGGGAAGTACCTAAAATTCACTTTGACTCGGGCAACAGCCTTGCATGGTGTTTTGCAATACAAACATTCCAATACTGCTGATTAAATTAGCTGTCTGAATATACAACATGAACAATAAAATCAAAACTTTTAATAAATAATTCTGAAATATGTTAAAATAAGGTACAAAAAGATTTATATTCTTGGGGGTAAAATTAACAAAAGCAGGATCCAGCACTGAGGCTTCTTTCTATGCCCTATAAAGCCACACAGGTAAAAGATGTCAAGAACAGACACATAGGACCCTTAATGTTACAGTATCATAATGATACATAATTTGCAACTAGGGTCAATTTCTAATACTAATTCTGGTAGAACTTCTTTGGGCACAACAATAAATTTTGATTAAGAGGTTTGCTGCAGAATCAAGGAACCCAAGGCAAACTACAACACAAGCTTGAATCTTTTTTTTCCCCATATATTTATTTATTTATTTAGAGGCTGCATTTGATCTTCATTGATGCGCGCGGGCTTTCCCTAGCTGCCGCGAGCGGGGGCTACTCTTTGTTGCAGTGCACGGGCTTCTCACTGTGGTGGCTTCTCTTATTGCGAAGCACGGATTCTAGGCGCGTGGGCTTCAGTGGTTGTGGCACGCAGGCTCAGTAATTGTGGCTCGCAGGCTCTAGAGCACAGGCTCAGTAGTTGTGGCGCACGGGCTTAGTTGCTCCATGGCCATGTGGGATCTTCCCGGACCAGGGCTTGAACCCATGTCCCCTGCGCTGGCAGGCGGATTCTTAACCACTGTGCCACCAGTGAAGCCCCTAGACAGGGCTTTAAACCCTTAACATTCCAAAATATTTCTTTTAAACCATTAAAAAAATATGATTAAATATAAAATATTTATATATATATATAGTTCATAATATGACTTATGGCTAACTTGCTGTTACTTTAATTCTCTGATCCAAATAAATTTACTAATTACTATAAAATATCTTGAACAAAAATTTAAAGCAGAATTGCAACAAAAAGATACTTTCCATAATAATATATTGAAACAAGGGCAGACCAATAATGTCTTCTGATGGTCTGATTAGCTTCTATTCTGGGTGCCAGTGAAATACAGAAGAGATATGCAAACATTAGGCTTAATGGTGGTGACTCTTTCACAGTGAATATTAACTATGATTCTTTTTTCCCATTCCATTCCCAATAGAATTCCCCATTCTACCCCTACCCTTGCCATTTACAACCATTTTTTAAAATTGAATCTATTTAGCAATACCCTCCATCTATGGATTAATCACCTATGATTGATGAGAAGTAGTATTGAACATTCTTCTTTTTCCATGTAAAGTGCACCTTCTCTCTAGTATCTCTAGCTGCTTGTCACTTAGATCATTTTCTGGAGGTCATATAATTACCACAGGGTGGCTATCAATCCTCAGTACCTGACCTTTTCCCTAGGCAGACTAATGGCCATTTAGTTCACTTGGGCCTCACCACAGAAATGAGTCTGTGGAATATTTCACTGGCTGTGCTAGTAGTCATCTATCACAATCCCAAGCTTTCCTGTCCTCTCCGTAACAGCAACTGTGAATCCCTTTTACCTTTCAGTATGTAGCATGATACCTCTTGAAACAAACTGCTTTGTCTCTACTGTTACTGAATACTTCTCCCTATTGGACATCACCTCCAGAATGTTTACCCAGCCTCTTGTCCAGCTGGTATCCTGCTAAAGTCTTATTATATGTAATTACAGTTTTGCTACTCAAAGTGTGGTCCATAGACCAGCAGCATCAGCATCATGTATGAGCTTTTTAGGAAAGCAGTATTTCAGGGACCACCCAGGCCTACTTAATCTAAGGCTGTGTATTAACCAGATCCCTAGACCCTTTGTGCATACATTAAAATTTGAGAAGTATTGGTTTATTGTATAAACTTCTCATAGTCATAGAACTTGCACTAAATTCCACAATTTCTCAAAAAGAAGACAACGATCTACTCAGATCATCAGTACTTAACTCCAAACTGTTAGCGGTCCATCCCTCAACTGGGAACATTCAAACTGTTCAGGGTGAATTTTTCCATTTTTCTACATTTCTTTCTGAGTCACAGACAAGATCCTTAGGTAAATACAACTTTAACTAAATGAAGCACTTCCATTACTACTTATCCTTCAGCACACAGCACGAACATCATTTCTTCAAAAAAGGCCTCCCTGGGGCTTCCCTGGTGGCGCAGTGGTTGAGAGTCCGCCTGCCGATGCAGGGGACGCGGGTTCGTGCCCCTCTGGGAGGATCCCACATGCCGCGGAGCGGCTGGGCCCGTGAGCCATGGCCGCTGAGCCTGTGCGTCTGGAGCCTGTGCTCCACAGCGGGAGAGGCCACAACAGTGAGAGGCCCGCGTACCAAAAAAAAAAAAAAAAAAAAAAGGCCTCCCTGACCCCACAGTAAAGACTGTTACCCCATTATATGTTCATATAGCATCCTGTACCACAAGAATCATGTTATAATTAAATAACATTTTGTATAACTAATTGTTTAAATGTAAAGTCCACAAGAAGAAAAAAGGAGCTGCCCATTTTGTTCCCTGCTTTATTCTCAATGCCCAGCACAGAACCTTGCACACAAGAGAAACTTAACAAATAGTTGTTGAATGAATGACCTGCCATGCATAAGAATGTTTAGGACCAACAGTAGGGCTTTTATCAAAGCACACACTTACAGTGAAGGTAGAGGGGAAGATGACGCACAGGTGACTAAGAAGGGTGTCTGAACAAAGCAACACCAACGAAGATAACAAATACAGCTTCTGCCTGAAGGATTACCATGCACCTGCTCCCAATCTGTTCTCACTATTTTTCCACTAGGAAGAAAGAAATCTTATCAGCCTTGCTCTGGATGCCAGACTATCACTCCATTTAGCCTACCTGCCACTGGTTCTGACTACTGTGGGGGGTCCTCAAAGTATCTTCTATTAAGCCTAACATTAAAGAAATCTGCAAAAATGTAAAACCACACCACTCTTCTCATGCATTTATTATTGTTATTTTTATATGAACTAGTAATTATTTAAAATTTTTGTCTTAATTTCTAATCCAGTGAAATTTTTAGATATAACCCATACAAACCAAAGCTCTTTGGGATTCTCAATCACTTTTAAGAGTATAAAGAGGTTCCAAGACAAAACATTTGAGGAATGGTGGTCTACAGAAAGTTGTGCATGAGCCTCAAGACTAGAACCATTGCTACGTTCTGCAACCACAACCTTGTGTAAAATCCAGAAAAGGGGAGCAGGCCGAGAAGACCTAAGCTGTTCTGTATTTTTCTTTTCTATTCTGGGCCTCCTGCAGACTGCAAAGAAAACCATTCTAGAGTCAATCACTACACACACACACACACACACACACACACACACACACACACACATGCTTATACACATACACAGCCACTGGAATGACAAATCTAACAGTGTGAAATATGTCCAATTTAAAAAGAAAAAAACCCTAGAATGGAAATCACTAAAAAAGCTTTTAAGAATTGTGTTGTATAGTATTTTTCTAAAGTACTATATGACTATTAAGATATCAGGAACAAGTACTGTAACCTAATGTAACTGGAAAGTTTCAAGTTTTAGAATTTCTGCTTCAAAAACACTTTTAACAGTGTGGACTCTATGGGGTTTGGGATTAAAAGAGGCAAAGAAGACATCAGGAGAAAGAAGACAACCCACAGGCCCTAAAAAATTGTGTTAACATTGTACAAACATTAGAAATTCATTTTATAAACGAATCAAGTATTATGCTTCATATCTTTAATAGTAATAATCATCTACCTAATCATACCTTATGTTTATATCACACTTGTGTAACTCTTCCAAAAGCTTTCATATTATCTCATTTTATCCTTACAACTATGACATAAGCAAGGCAGTTATTATCATTTTATAGGAAAGAAAAGTGAGGAACAGGGAACTAATAGGCTGCAGGACACTGTTGAAAGAGCTCAGGAACAGGAGTCAGGAGACCGCAGAGAACAGAGTGAATTCTACATGCACTGCTG